ATATCTAATGCTGTGCGATCCTTGAGATCGGGCGATCAACTATAAATGTGCCCTCAAACTATTAGACCACGCGTCAGCAGGCAAACAAAAACACATCCTAAGAAAGTGCGTAAATCTAGAAATAGACAGCCTTGGTCTTTACCACGTGTTAAAATTCAAAAGGACATCTTGCAAGATACGAGGGCATCCTCAAGGATCAAACCTGGGAGAAGGGGAACTTTGGAATAAAATGAAAATTGCACACGGACACCCTAGAGTCTCTCCTTACCGCCTGAGGCACAGTCCCCTTCTTGACAAGAAAGGGATCTTTTACGCGGTTAGAGATTCATTGCCACCACAGTGCCCTATATTGTGCGACAGCGACATTCAAATTAATTAGGCCGAACAATCAAACAAGACGAGGCAAACAAGACAAACGAGACGAGAAAAACGCCGGGAGCGCCATCGCGGACGCGAGCAACATTCTCGACGACTAATAAATGCGTTCAGTGTAATTACGACGGACACGCTCAGATGTCGTATAAAATTTACTCAGCTGACGAATTTTCTTGCTGCAGCATGTTTAGTCATTTGTTTTCTATTCATAACCTTTGTATTACTGTGCAGTAAGGAGTGTAGCTGGAAAACGTCAAGTAGTTTGTTGGTTCCTGCAATTCTTATTTTGCTTCTTCTTGTTTCTTTAACTTTCCAACTTACCAGGGTTTTTCCTTTCCATGCTCTTCGGTATATTTTCAGCGAATAAAAAATGGACTCGAACCCTGCACTGCTCCGCGAAGTTCGCCTTTATGAGAATCACAGTGAGAGAGAGCAAATGGAGAACATGAGCGAATTGTTCGCGGTACTCAACGCCCTCGAATGTTTGGAAAAAATGTATAGCAGGGATTATATTTCTAATGAGGACTACAAAGTCGAATGCTTCAAGCTGCTTGACCAGTACAAGGTTGTTGGCATTCTTTTCTCTTTTACGCAATGAAAAAATTGGGTGAATTACGGCTTTAGGTAACAATGCGTCTAGTTCATGGCACAAACGTTGAAGGTTTTGCTTCCAAATATCGTCTGCACTGCCCTGCAGCACTGGAACGGATCCACGAGGGACGTCCGATTACTGTCAAAGACGACAAAGGCAATGTTTTGAAGAACATTGCCGTCATTGTTGAGGTAATACGTTAAAACGTTGTTGCAGCGATAAGCCTGCTGGCCTCGAATGTACCGTTTTTAGGGGTCCTAAGTTTGACTGATACTTTTGGCAGGTAAGAAGTCTCAAGTAAATAATTGGGGGGAGGGCATCGTGATGCAGGACGTAGGCTCCCAACGCATTCAAAAATATGGCAAACATATTCATTTTCGAATGATTAGTTCCCCTTTTACGCAGGCAAAACCATCCGCCCACCACGAGCTCCCTCCTTTGCGGAAAAAATAAGAACTCGGTACGTGCTTATCTCGGGTAATTGCCGGCCACGAATGCCCAATCATCCCCCCCCGCCCCCCCGTCTCCTACATACAAGGCCATGAACCGTCAAAGTTTTCCGTTCCGATTGCGGAACGAGAGAGCGTCGGAGTCGCAGTGGATACTCGCAGACGGGTTGCGACGCGCCAGAAAAAAGGAAAACCACTTTTTCTGGCCGTCGATCACTTGCCGGCTGCGTGGTCTGCACCGCGCGCCTCTTCTTCGTAGGTTTCAGAAACCATTCGCACCGAGGTTCATGTATGGCCCTGGTAATGATCCGGAATCCGTCTCAGCGGATTTGAATGTGTGAGACGGACAAAAAGATAGAAGACACCGGAAACCATTACGGAGCTGATAAAGGTTTTTTTTCTCACAACACGTTGTCGTTGCGCTGAAAAGCGTTCAGCACGATTGAAAACCCTTCTTGAAGCTCTCGGAGCGTAGCGCTTGTTCTCGTCAAAAAGGCCCGACTTTGTAAAAGCTTTTCTATTCTTTTAAACTTTTTTCAAAGTTTTTTGAGCCTCATCCAGTAAGAGGGGGCATGCAAAGCGACAGTCGCTGCCTCTTTCAGAAGTTCCAATTTTATAGGAAAGGGAACATCCGGAGTGCATGAATCATTTCTTTTCCACTTTTACACCCACCTTCTTTCCCTTACGGAAAGCTCATTTGCTTCAGGCGCTATGAAATGTCGCATCACATGGCCCTATTGCATGAGACCGTTTTCGAGTATTCTGCAATATTTTGAAGTCTCATATTGTTTTTCACACTTTCAGGTTTTTTGCAGTCAAGCTCCTTATATGGAATTTTGAAACCTTCACTCTTACTGGCTGCAGAGTTACAAATTTAATGATGTTTGTCGCGAATTTACAGTTCATCACTGCCTTGGCAAGGATAGGCTGCATCTGAATCTGCCCTTCACTTCTACATCTGAGAGCACAATATCTATGACTCTACCCCTGCCCGTTATTACGGTAACCCTTGTGGAAACCAACGTGTTCATTTTCATAGGTATTCATCACATTCTTCGATCAACTCAAACTAAATGTTCGGGCTGTGGATGAACTTTTCCCGAATCTAAACGAGCTTTATACGTCAATAAATGCGATGAGTAGCTTACCAGGAAGATTTCGATGGACGTGCGAAAGTGAAAGCATGGTAAGTTTGAGGAAGTACGCTTTTTCCTTGCAAATTACTGGAATTTACCTTTTAGGCATGACCGCCTTTCTACAATGGCAGCATCTGAAGAAATTACTGATGAAGAAGCTCGTCAAATGATTTTCGAGCTTGAAGCAGCATATTCGTCCTTTATCAAATTTCTACACACTCAACAACATTGATAACTTCTTTATTCTAATAATTTATGTAAATAAAACAAGTTGTATATCTGAAAAACACAGTGAACTCGGTGAGAATATGGAATGTCAAAGTCGTGGATCAAATTGCTCTAGGTGTGGTTCGAGGACAGGGGCAAGCGTGTCCACAGAATTCATAGCGGGGGTCGTATATGACCCGCCAAGGAGGAAGAGGGTGCAACGGGTTGTAGCGTATGGGTTTGCACGGCAGAGCTTTTCAGAAAGGGAGAAGAGAAGCGGAAAGTCCTAAAAACGTTGCGATCCTTTAGTGCGCTCTGCAGTTGTTGCTGTGTGGACACAGTACTACTAAAATGCGTCTACGATTACGAATGGAAGTTGAAGACATGGCGCATCTAGGAACTAAGCCGAGTAACGTCAGCTCTGCCAGTTTCTGTTCGAGTTGACCCAAGCATCATTTTTAGAGATAATTTGTAATTCTTCGGAAGGAATTTGATGACAGATCACTATTTTCGCGTCAGTTTTTGAATATGAAATTCATTGCATTACAACAGAGCAAAACGTTTAAAACTATAATTCAAACGTTCAACAATTATTCCGGGAGCGGTTAATCGGTTTGCTTTATTCTAACATTATTTGAGCTTGTGAAGTTCTATGGATGAGGGCAATGCGGCTTCTGCTAATGGAAAAGAGCTCTCCTAATCGTTATTTCCACCACGGAACATCAATGTTTTCCACAGCTAAGTTACCAAACTGCTTCGCAGCGCGCAGAGCAGAGTCAACCCTGCGTTGCGCAGTTCTCAACGGCCACGTTGCGCAGTTTCGCCCGATTAGACACGTTCTCTCGCGCGAACATTCACACTCGCATGCTCGAGCCGTCTGCGTCTCCGCCCATACAGCGTGCGTTGAGGATCTCTCAACGTGCCGTTGCGAACTGCGCAACGCAGGGTTGACTCTGGCGCAGGATGTAGCGAAAGTTCGTATGGAACTTCCCGATTTTCCATTGGAAGAGGCTTAATTTCCCTTTCTCAATAGTCAATTTATCCATTTATGCAATCTATTGTGCCGCTCGCCTTTGATAAGGCTTGAGTGTACAAAACTCTTGAATTGCCAAGCCCAATCTTTCTGCAGGTACTGCAGGTATCTATCTACAGGATCTTTTAGATTATAGAAGTATAAAATCACGTGTCGAAAAATATTCGGCATTATTTTCTAAACAGTTATTTGGCCAAGAAAATTTGATAAGCTTCAAAATGAGCTAAATCTTCCTTGACAGTTTTCAGTGCGCATTTCTCATTGCGCAAGAACTTGCAAGTTACCTTCGCAGGAAAATTTCAGAATGCAAAACAAAACAATTTATAATTTTAACTAATTTT